CCTATTCCAAGGGAATTGTAGGGGACATCATATGACCAAGATGCAAATCAGTGTGGTATACAAAAAAATACTGAAGGAAAACAGTCATTCTATCTCAGGGCTCCTCAGAACACTTTCTCTGTTTTGGGTTTCTTCCCCCCTGCTGCCCCCAACCCTCCTACCCCCCTCCCCGGTTTACAAGAAACTGGCTAAGATAGGAAAATTATTCTCTAAATTAAACCAACAGAAGAAATCTTTCCTTCAGTAAGAGACTGTTAACTTTTATATCCAAATAAAAAGTTAGATCTTCCTTTTACTTTAAGAATTAAGTGCTAAATTAGCAACAAAAAATTAATTGAATGATCAGACACTAACTCCTGAAGTTTCAGGTCTTTTCTTTAAGATTCTCAACATAAATAATTTCTCATTTCTTTGTTCCATCAGTATTTAAGCCGGTACATTTTGTTAGAACAAAAGTCACTATCTGTACTAATCTCACCTAATTTTGTTTGTACTGTCTTCACCAATGCCTGGTAGCAGTGGCATCTTGCATAAATGTGAAATTTAAACAGTTTCTCAATTGGTTCTCTAATTCTAGACCTTCAAGAAGAAACCTTTTCTTTGTATATAATCCATTGTAACAGTCAAATCAATTGGAAGTCCCCACCTTCAAAGATCACTCAGAGTTTTGTCTGTTTTTTTATCCCTCAAATACGAAAAATAGAAACTGACTATATGAGTAGAGTTTTAAGAACAATGTAAAAATTGCTTCAATAGAAGTCAAGCCTCTAGGAATTATGAGACCTTTTCTTAAACTAGCATGCTAAGATGTTTTTTTCAAGCACATGACAGCCATTTGTTAAGCTGAAAATGTTATACTTCATTACAAATGGCTGAATACCACTTCCAGAAGAATAAAGGGCAATCTAGCTGATTTAAAAGAAAGAAGTTTAAAATAATTTCCATTGAATAGTATATTTTGATGTGTTTTGTGAGTCTCCATTTAAGTGTTTCTTTTTGTAGTAGCAGTAATGAAAGCTCAAACCTAAGCTCAGTGGTCTACCCAGACACCATTGGCAGAAAAGTGTCTTGAAGTTCAGCCTTCTAGAATAGTAAGCAAATCTCAAGGGAATGATGCTCATTCTGCTCAAAGACCTTTCACAATGTTTGGGAGAAAAGAAGATAACATTCAGTCTACCTTTTGGAGTTCTTTACTTGCTAAGATCCCCCTTGATTCACCAAATTCATACATACATATGGGTATAATCCATATAAGTAGATATAATAGACATAATTTGTTAAAATATACTGTCCATGTTAATTTCAGATGTCTTCATCCCAGATAAATTCTCTCTATTCTCTCTAGCTGCATGAGTTGAGACAAAATTTTCAGTTATTTTGACATGGACTTTTTCCGACATTAACTTTATGGTCATAAATCACCTCTAATTACTTTAATAAGGTCATTTTGAATGTGAAGATGTCTTTGCAAGTTCATAAATTTTCTTGATAATTTTGTGCCTGTGGCTTGTATATCGTAAGTCTTGCTATTCATGCACACAGCATTATGTCATAAATTACCACATTTATTTTGGCATGAGTCTAAGTACTCATGAACACTGTCTCTATTATTTAAACACGTAACTTAACTGAAACACAAGATTCAATATCCAAAATAAAGGAAGACAGAAAAAAATAATACTCAGACTAGGGACGAAGACTGGAATTTTCCTAATGATTTGGGATGCAACTCTAGTTGAAAGAGAAAAAACCCTTGGAGTCCAAATCTTTGAAGCATTCTTGAAAGCCCAGTTAAAAAAATATATATTCCCACATCAAGCATTAGATTACAATACCTTATACAAGATATCTAATAAAACAGAAGTGTTTCACTTACTACTTAGCTTGTTATACAAGTCTGAAGAAAACAAGTAACAGTAACTTTTACTTTAAAATTAGCCTAGATGGAGAACTCTCCCTGGTAAAGATATGATGTTTAGGATAAAATCTATATAATGTGAACTATTAATTTTTTGTGTTATATTTTGTGGAAAAGCCATTAGACTTGATTATAAACCAGATGACAGGAAAAATATTATTAACATACCACACTGCTATTGAATGTAATTAGTTCTTGGGCTTTTAAACTTGCACACACTTCTGTTTTTATATCTGAATAGGTTCGCTGAAGTCAATTGTATATATCAAATATGATTAAATCAATTTAAACAGATTCTACAACAAATCAAATTATTTTAGATTATATATCAAGTGCCTACCAAATAAAAAACCCTCTCCAACAAAACTAGCCCATTTGATACAAAGCAACTGCATATTTTTTATGTAATAGGCTGCAGCTTAATCATTTCAACCTTTAATTACTGCATCAGATAATGAATATTTTGAACATATGCTTCTCCACTCTGCTAGAAGACGTGAATGAAAGAGAAACAAGTTTATATGCATGCTGCTGTGTGTGCCTGTTGGGGGAGGGAGTAGCACACTGAACAGCAAAAGGAACCAAGTGGCAACAATTGGAGGAAACGGTATCTGTAACAGCTGCTCCTTTCAGATTCCCCTAGAAGGAGACTGCCTGAGGTGGACCACAGCACAAAAGGATAAAGAAGATGAAAACTGATGCAAAGCAGGAAAATAACTGCTGAGACCCCTGAGTCTACACTCGAATAGTCCCAAGCTGTGTGGCAAGACCTCTTTAGCATGCTACAGAAGCTGGTGATGAACTACATATTACCATGAGGCAAACTGGCTCCTAGCAGTATTGTCTGCGTGTTATGTGTAATGATAACCAGTAGCCCTCTGGGAATGGGAGGCAATGATTTCATCTCCGTAAGCATCTGAGCTCCCCTTGGATACAGAGACCATTAAACTGAGAACAGAAGGGTAAATTTTAGGCAATGATTTCTAATTGGAGAGTGAAGACAACTTGTGCTCAACAGTACTGTCAACCACTGGTACTTTACTGCTATCTATATTGATCCCTGTTAAGGACAAAAGGAACTAAATTTTACCCATAACACACATTATATGTTCTGAATGAAAGTCCTTCATAGCTTTCTTATGTAATGTAACTGGAAATGCCATTACTTTAGGAAATGCCACTATATTATAATATAACATTACATTATTTACACTGAAAAGTATTGGTACTGTCATTACTTTAAAAATAACATTCAGTACTCTTAACATAACATATTGTTTATGTATTGTCCTACAGAGATTTTCTTCCTCTTTTAACAAAAAAACCCCCATTGCTCTCCTTACCTGTCCAGTGTTTTTGTAGGACTAAAACCAACAGGCACTACCTATAACATATATATTTGAATTATTAGTAGTACATTATGAAATTAAAAGCTTCCTTTAAAAAAAATAAATAAAAAATTCTGCATGTGACAAGAAGATACGGAACTTCCAAATTATTGCTGTAACTTTTTGGCAGGGGGGAGCAACAAAGGGAAAGAAGTATCAATAAAATGTAAGCAAAATGGATCCTAAGAAAAAATGCCAGGACACCTAGTACTTTTGACCCTTTCAAGGCCAGTTTGAGCCTTTGTATATCATGGAGACTGTGCAGTCTTGTTCATTAATTAATTTCTCCTGTGATGGAGAGAACAAATATGCATGCAGGCTTCTTTTTTTAGCACATTTGTTTATCTTGCTGCTCTTCATCACTCACACAGCTTACTGTGACTCTCAGAAACTTAGAAGAAATGTTGATCAGGTAAGAATGGTGGCACTATGGTCAGTCAAAAAAAAAGCAGACTAGTTTCGGTAAAAAAAAAATAAATCTAGTCTAATCTGTTACCCTGTATTCTTGAAAGAGACCAATCATCCTATTCTCATTGCTGTTGCAACTATTAGATACAATTTTGAAGAATTATATGTAGCTTTTTAATTTTTAAATATTTTCACATTCAGCTATAGACTTTGACAGGCTTCAGCTGTGAAGAAATTGTATCAAGATGGCCAGTAACTTTTGGAAAAACTGTGTCACAAATCATTAAAAGCATCTAAGAGGATATTTCAATACAGAAATCTAGAACCCTTCCTGCACTGCAGAAGCCAAGCAAACAATATTGAAATTGGTGTTGAATTTACTCTGTCACTTCATCTGGTCTATTTCTGAAAAAAATACACTACCATGACAAATAAGACAAAGAATGACCTCTATAAAACATTCACTAATAAAATACTGGGTAACTTTGCAGTTAAAGGAGCAAAGAGAACTAGAAATAGCAATTATCCAGCTCATTAACTGCAATAATCAATATTCAAAATATTGCAACAATTCAAATACATGAATTTTCCACACAACATTTTAAAGAGGATCATGGAAGACAGAGACTTATCTGGTGACTGGCATAGACAAACCAAGTTGATGCTTGCCTTTCCTCTTACACTGACCTACGATGAATTTGAGGAACCCTCCTACCAGAGTAGAGTTCTGTGTGTACAATTCTTGTTGTCTTAGAATTATTATGTATCATAGTCTCCAAGGGAATGTGAGAAGAGAAGCTTGAACTCAAGCATTAACAGAAAGGATTGCATCAGCACTACAGCTTTTCATACAAAAAGCAATTAATATTTATTCTAAATTCCTGATGTTCTGAAAAGCTCAAAATATAAATCAATATATTTTTAATTCTTGGCTTATGAGTGCTGTATCAAACTAGTTACCAAAACTGGTATTTCATACAAAACCTTAACTACATAAAAACTGTTTGAATACAGGAACAAGAAAGCTAGTCACATGTAATCTGAATTGTCACTTTATATTACTTCTACAGATCTAAGCATAGAAACCTGGACTCCATCAGTTCTGGAATTCATTTGAACCATAACTGCTTAAGCCACATGGATCCCTGTCTATAGAACTAGACATGCTTATAAAGGGTCAGTGAGCCAATCTCTCCAAGTCTCTCACTCTAAGAAATGCCTAAGAAGATGCCAAGGAGGCAGAAAAAGGCATTAGAAAAGCTAAAACGACTTTAAAATAAACTTACTGATAATGCTTCCTGTTGTTGTCCAGCAAAATGATATGCTAAACTTAAGCAATATGAAGCTTCTCCTTCCAACTTCATATCACCTCCTAAAGAAAGGATGAAAGCTACAGTTACACATGTAATCTGAACAAAATTAGTACAGACAGTTCTTGCAGGTTCTTAAATAACACACAGATATGTAAATACTGTAGTAACTTCTTCCTTCTCCTTAGTCTTGCCATTTATCTCCTTCCAAAAATGCACAGTAGTAATTAAAAACAGAGGCTGTGGATTTTAAAAAACTTAAACAAGAAAGTTCAACAAAGTCAGAGAAAATATCTTCCAGTAAGTAATGCAGTGCAACCACTTTAACATGCTGTAAGGTTCTCTATCATGAAATCCTCAATAGTGCTCACAGGAAATCACAGTATTCTCATTATATATATTTAAATATAAAATAGAATAGCATATATAAAGAAAAGCAGATGTATATCATAAATCCTAAAATGGAAACACAAATTATTTTGACTGATACATTCTGCTAATGTGAATCTTGGTGAAACACCAAGAAAGAACTATCAGTAAACCAGGTTCTTATTTCTTACTCTCACTGTTATTTTTGCAAGCTACTGTAGGATAGAATAGCTAAAAAAAGGGGTAGTTTATACCTCCAAGCATTAGTCACAGAAAACTCTTCATAGGCAGTTGATAACTGAAGTGTATCACACTTTTCCCTGTCAGGTTTTATTTCACTAATACTAATCTAACAAACAATGAGGCAAAAAGACATAGAAACAAAGTTTCACAAAGGAATAGTAAGTAAAAATTTGCTAAGGATATAGAATGCTTCCTTTCTTACTTAAGAGCAGTCTGGGAGACCAAAAGTGGGTAATAGCTAATCCTAACTCATAAAACAAAATAAACATAGATGATGGTCCAGAAGGATAGAATGGATATGATAGATGGCAACCAAAGCCAGAGCCAGAGGTTTAACTAAGTTGTTTAATAGGGGCTTCATAAACAGAGGCTGTGGTTCTGGAAAGGGGACTGGAGAACTCATCTGAAAACATCTTCTAAAGCTTAAATGTAAAGAGAACAATGGCAAGTACACTCCATGTAGTGACATACGCTACATGTCTCAGGAAGCTATGGAAAGTGACTGATTTGAAGTAAGGGCATTGGAACACCTGCCTGCTCAAAGTGCATTTTGGAAAGGCATCAGATGCATTTTGACAATCTCTTCTTTCCCAGCACCTTCCACCAGCAATAGGAAGGAGCAGCAGTTTTGCTGTAGCTATGGGTTAAGCATGCATTATAGACAACAGCTGCAAAAAACCCTAAAAGGTTGTATTTGATCAAGAAATGCAGCTGGAAAAAGGTGGAGAAGTTTTTGGGTAAACATGTCTGTCTTCAGCTAATTATCTGTATTGGCATTATCAATATTTGGATCCATACTCCCAAGAGAAAAGTTCTAAACAGGCAACTCACCAAACACATCAGCTAAAGTGGACTGCACATAAAAACAAAGTCAGTTATTTAGTTGTATAATTAAAAGAAAAACTTACTCAAATACAACCATACACCCTCACAAGCAAAAAAAAAATAAATAAAAAAAGGAATGATTTTTAATTGAATTCTTGCCCCGGAAGTCCAGCTTGGTTTATTCCTCAAGAATTACCACATAAAAGCATTCAGATTTCAAATGTGTTTTAAAATTATATATTTTTTTTCATGAGATGAGGCAAGATGAGAAATTTGTGTTCTTTAGTATTGACATAATAAAAAAAAATCTAATAAAAAAATAATAGAAATTATTTTCCAACACTTAAAAAAAAAAAAAAAAAGGCAAAAAATAATCTTAGATGCCTGAAATCTAGTTAGATTTTTCCAAGAGCTGGTCTAATAAAGATATTTCTTTTTAGGAACTTGCCTTGGCTTCACTGAATTATACCTTTATATAGATTGCTGTAATATACTGTTTACCTGTACCATCAGACATTTCTTTGTAGAAAAAAAAATATTTATTTTTAAAAAAAATATTTAAAACAGTTTATTTTTTTCCTCCCATTTTTGGAAGCTTTATTCTATCTATATTAATTGTGTGTGCAATTCATATGCAAAATATGTCCCTTAAGGAGCACCATGAAAGGCTCGAATTACTGTGCATGGAAAAAGATGGTTATTTGAGACTTCCTATCCTAGCTCTGAGAAGCCCTCCAACAATCATATATGATAATCATCTAGGAAAATTAGGACTGCAGAAAGGGACATTTAACAACATCCTTTGAGAAACAAATATTAGTAAGATTTCTGAAAACTCTGGAAAATTATGTGTATTTTCATAAAGTCAACTTGTAAGATTTGACTTCTTTTCTGTTCCCTCCCATGTGTAAGAAAAGCTCCAGAGCACTGTATTTCTAGCTGATCAACATTCCACAGTCTATATAACATTAAAATGCTATTCTAATGTCCCCTAATTTTAAACTTACCCAGACATGGTCAAAGCTTCTTAAACAAGAAGGTAATCAGGAGTACTCAGCATGGATTTATGACAGAGAAATTGTGCTTCACCAGCCTGGCAGTCTTCTAGAATAAGATGCCTGGCTTGGTGGATGAAGGGAAAGCAGTGGATGCTGCTCCTCTCAGTTTTAGTAAATCTTCTGACACCATCTCCCAAAACGTCTCCATACACAAGCTGATCATGTATGGCTTAGATAAATAGACAGCAAGGTAAACTGAAAACCTCCTGAGTTGCTGGCCTCAAGGTGTTGGAAGCAGCAGCATGAAGTCCAGTGAGGGGCCAGTCACTAGTGCTGTACTTGGGGTTCAACACTGGCACCAACACCGATTCATATCTTCATCAACAACCTAGATGGTTCGACCAAGTGCACCCTCGGTGTGTTTGCAGGCAAAACAAAATTGGGGAGGAATGGTTGATTCACCAGGTTGGTGGTTGTGCTGCCATTCAGAGGAACCTCAGCAGACTGCAGCAATGGGCTGCTGGCAGTCTCGTAAAGCTCAGGAAAGGGAAATGCAAAGTCCTTCACCTGGGGACAGAGAACCCCAGGCAGCAGCCCAGGCTGTGGGATGACTTGGGAGCAGGAAGATTGACTGGGAAGGACCTGGGTTTCCTGGTGGACAACAAGTTGCCCATGGGACACACCAATGGCCATTCATGGCAAAGGTGACCGAGGGTGTCCCTGGGCTGCATTAGGCAGAGTGTGTTGGAGTGAGTCCTGAAAAGAGCTGCAGAGGTGACTAAGGAACTCGGGTCATCTGTCCTTGGAGGAGAGGCAAAGGGAGCTGGGACTATTCAGACCACAGAAGGCTCAGAGGGGAATTTCATCAATATGTACAAATTTCTAGTGGCAGAGTGTGAAGAAGAGGTGCCAGGCTCTTCTCAGTGGTGCTCAGTGACAGAACAAGAGGCAAGGGGCACAAAATGTAATTCCATTATGGGCTCAACAAAATACTTCCGGGTGTTTGAATAGTGGAAAATATTTCCAGGATTGTTATGGAGTCTCCACATGTGAAGATATTATTAACTTGGCTGGATATAGCCCTGCACAGCTTGCTCTGTTTGACCCTGGTGATATCCAGATCTCCCTTCCCACCTCAGCTATTCTATGATTCTGTAACTTTTTACTTTAGGTTTTAAAGTATTTATGTGTATTAAGATATACAGCAGAAATCTGGTTTGCTTATGGTAGAAAACTGTTTTTTGCAAGTCCTAAATAACCATGTAGTGTGAAAAGGTAGTGATCCAGCAGATAATATAACTCAAAAATTGCCAGATCAACAACAACTAACCAATCAAATTCATTGAGCTGAGCTTCCACCACTGACCTCACTTTCTCATTATAGATTTGACCATTTTATAATATTATTCCCACAAGGTTGTGTGGTCTGGGTTTTTTTGGAAATAAAGCTTTCAGGAATCTAAAAGATTCTTTGTTGTCAGCAAGAATGCATTTCTGCTTTAGTGAGATCTGGATGTGTATTGATAGCATTTGTCTTTGAATTTAACAGGAAATAATCACCCAAACAGTTGACAATTCCCATTCTACCCCTGGGAAAATCATGGCATGCACATCAAATAAAAGAATGTGAAAGTATTATTTTCCACCTGCCTTCTTTTGCTAGTCTTAAAGCTTTCTTCAGCATTTTGATGGCCTGTTGGTGTTCTTTGGTTTCTAGCATTTTGTCTGCTAGTAAGGTATAAATTCTCCAGAGATGTTCACATGCCAGTGAATTGTAAGTGTGGCCTGTTGCAACTTTCCATGTCAAACCCTCTGTTAGCTGATAAAATGCTTCATAATGCTCAGCAGCTTTCATAACACGACCTGAAAAATATCATTTGTAATTACAATCAGTGTAATCAACAACATTTAAAAAATGTATTAGTCTATAATAGTTTTCTCATTAGAAACTAAGTTGCAGCCAATAATCTCATCGATTTTTCAAGCATCTTCAATATACAACCTACAGATCACTGGAAAATACCACCAAATCTCACAGTTTACAGCAATGCTGTAATTTAAATTTACTATTTTTTAAATTAGCTTTTCTTTGTAGATTCACAATGTTGGGGATGTGTGATCCCAAGGATGCAAAGTCAGAAATTTCTAGAAAATACATCTATTATAGATTCATTAATATAGTCTTTATAGATCTCATATTTCAAAATCACATCTATGAATAAATAATCACAATTCAAACTGCTCCTCAAGCTTCTTTTGCTGTAATGAAAACCTGTGTTGAAAGATTTGAAATGGGGATAATAGAGGTATAAAAATGGGGGGAGGAGGAACCACATTTATTCAAATAAATTAATTGACAAAAAAAGGATTATAATTGAAAGTAATTAATTTAATAATTATCGTTAGGCCAACTCTGGTGAGTTTGTGTAGCAAATGTACTGGAAAAGCATTAACCACTAACAGAGAAATTGTTTAACCTGAAGTAATAAACTTTAAGGTCTTCAAATGTAGGAAAGTTTGAAGATAAAGTTAAAATCATTTTAATATGCAAGTATTTCCTCCCTTCCCTCTGCCTTCAACTAGATTTATCCGTGTAGATGTGCAATCTAGGATTTCTGGACACTGTGAATTCCAAACCCCTTGAAAGAAGAGAACAGTTTTTCCTTATATATAATGGGTACAGAAAAAGTGCTGGGAAGCAGGTAAGACGAGAATATTTGCATACATAAGAGGAGAAAAAGGATTCTGGTCACAGTACCTTGTTTTGCAAAGACTGTTCTATTGCAGGGAGAACTGTGAAAGTGACCTTTCTAAGTTTGTGTGCATGATGGAGGAATCTTGTCCCATAGATCAGCAATATATCAATGCTACTTCTGTTAAAGTTTAGTTTAGCTGTGTTTGCAGTTTACACATCTTCTGAAACATAATTTATAAGGAATGATTACTGTTTCGAAGATAACTTTTACAGTCCTGCATGGAAATTGCAAAAAACAACCAGGAAGGAGAAAAGTTGCTTCCCAATTGTAGGAAAGGAAGGGAGAAAAGCTTGGAGAAGGACCTTCTCTAAGCATTCCAAGAGAAAATGGGACTAGTTCCCCAGGCCTCCAGACAACTCAGAGGCAGTGGAACAGCTAAAACAGATTTATCTTATTAAGTTAATTTAGATTTTTCATTTGCATATATTACCCTTTTACAACCACACTTTGCAATATAAAACATAACTCCTAACTTCATTAGAATTAAATCTATTTTCACATAAACTTCTCAGATTAAGAAAATGAGTACAACTAAAATTGACAAGCACAAGAAACTTCTCTTTCAAAGAAACAACTAATTAAATTCATTTCACAGACAAATAATTTTAAGGCTCTGTAACCTAAGATTCAAGTAAGAGTCCCAGAAGGTACAACAAAAAGTGCTGAAAAGTGCCAGGTGGAAGAGGAGACAGCAATCTTTATTCAATTCCACTCTAGTTAGGGACTGATATCAAAGAGATGGCCCAAAACATTGGAAAAATCTTATTGCCAGAGTAGCTATCAGATCCTGTAAAAGAAACCACGAAACCATAAATATATTATTTCCAAAAGAAATGCAAAATGATATTACCATGGCCCGTACGAGCTGTTTAAGTATTCACTGACAGTACTTAGTAAACAGAGATGCAGACTTGCTAAACCAAGATGAAAACTTTTGTTCATTCTAAAGAGACTTCCAAACTGAATTTGAGTTTCTGCCTATCCAGTGAATCTGACTTTTTAGAGGAACTCCAACTCAGAAGTCAACAGAATTCTAGTTATCCAAGTTGTTAAGTCCAGATGTAAGATATGAATTGAAGAAGCTGGCGTTGGCTTTGGGATAAATGGTGGAAAGTTGAGTTCAAACTCAATGTTGATAGCTCGATCTAGCATTTCATCCACTTGGATAAGCATATGTAGAGTCTGCCTTGGAATTGTCCTCAAAGTTTATTAAACACTTAAGAGATCTAGTTTCACTACATGTGCAATGGATTCTTTAGAATAACAGAGTTTGATTCACATGTAACTCAAAAACTTCTAGTAAGAATGGGATGCAGCAAACAAAGCAGTGGTACCACCTGGCTGCATAACCTGAAGCTAAACACAGTACCTGAGTTTCTCCTATGACTCAGTAATGTCATCTCTTAACAGGACACATCATTTAAGTAAATACTGCTTGCAACCATCAGAACTATTGTTTAGATTGTTAGAACTACCAGGTATGGTAATTCTTACCCATGCCTCCTCACTTGCAATATCCCCTGAGAAAGTTTCTGTCAGACTAGAAATTGAACTCATATATTCCACATACCCCCATAGTTCTTAAGAGTTGACCTAACCATAACAGCTGTGACCTGACATCCTTTTTGCCAGATCTCAGTGAAACCTCTTCAAAAACAATCCATCTACATCAACTTTCAAAACACAAAAGCAATATAGTATTTTTGTTAGTATTCAAATGGAACTAAATTACATTTGGCTTAACTGAACTATCAAAAAAGATTATGAAGTAAAAAGTAATAGAATCTGCTCAAAGAAACACCAAAAACATGCTGCTGAGCAAAAATAAATAAATAAATAATCCTGAATGAGGAAGAGATTAAATTCCTGACCAGAAAGCCCTTGTATGGCTATAAATTTTATTATTGAAGACTCTTTCAAGTAATACTAGCTATTTGGAGATCTCTCACATTCATGGAAGGTTAAACACTTTAGACTTTGGAATTCATTCCTCCATGAAGATAATCTGAAATCCCTTGTTCTCATTGGCAAACAACATACCAGCCTGTTTCTTTAAATCATAATGTTTATGTGAACCTGCAATGTTGTGGAAAAATAAAGTGAAGGGGCGGGATGTTTTAGGGGAGGGGGGAGTGTTGTGGTGGCAAGTTTAGTCACTGTCATGACTCAGTTCAGTTGGAATTGATCTGGCCAGTGCATTCCAATTTTCAAACACTGAACTACTGCAACTATTAGATGTAGAAATTAGTAGACGCTGTCCGAAAATCTTGAAAAAATTAAAATAAAGTAATAAGCCAATTACAAAACATTTCTGAGACACCTGAGCAGTGACAAGTTTTAAATTACTTTTCGTAGCAACTGAAATAAAATTTTAAAAAAGAGCAGCAAAATGAGAGGAAAAATGAGTAGGAAAATCACTTGGAATAGTTTGTCATAGTGTATCTTCTATGCTATTCTTAGGAATTCAAGACAAAAATCCAGAAGATGTTTCTAGGAAATGTATACTTGAAAAATCTATTTGCAAAATGTTACACAAAGCAGCATAGCTATTTTCAGTCAATAATATTAATAGCAATTGCATATTTCTTTTCCCACTGCCATTCAGAAATTAGTTCAGTATATACTAGGTGGAGCCTGAGAATCTCTGGTATCTCTTCTCTGTTTATAAAACAATTAAAAAAACAGAAATATAACTCCTAAAACATATACACTACCACTTCTAAAATGTTATTGTTTAATGTAGTTCAAGACATAACAAAAGAAACCCTATCAGCAGTAGTTTAACTTAAATATGGGAGGTAAACACTGTCAGAATATAATTTCTGGAGTAAAAAAAAATCAGTTTTAAACAATTATATATGCCACCAACAGTATCACATTTTAGAAATTAGTCTCATTCTCATAGCAACTACATATGTATGCATAAAGATTTGTGCTACTGTTTTCACTGAGTTGCTTAGAAGTTAAAAAAATAAATCTATTCATTCAAGCAAAAGAACTCAATGTAATTTTGTAAATACTGAAGAGAAACGTTTTTACATTATCTAAAACTTCCTTTATAATTCCCCTCCCTAAAACCCACTCCAAAAGTATACATTTGTTATGTCAAAATAGATATCAAACCAAATGGGGTACATATGGAGACCACTATTTTGATTTTTTTTTTTTTTTAAGTAGAAAGATTGACTAGATATTAACACAAATGGGTTTAAATGTGAAGCTGCCATAAAAGCAGGCACATAAATGTAATTCTCCCAGCCGCTATTTTGATGCACATTTTTGATTCCATGAATATTTTATGAAATGGCCCAAACTAAAGCCATATAACATTCCTGCATTACTGATGCTTGCGCCCGTAAGCTACAAACATTAGAGGCATGATTGAGTGCATTAAAATGAACTCATTCAGCAGTGCATTGATTACTTGAAGGAGAAAAAAAAAAAAAGTTACTCCCACTTAAGAAAACAGCACACAAATCTGAAGTTTTCAATACTGAAATTAATGATAGCAAATTTGAATAATGTGGTATTTAATAAATAAAGGCAGTGCACAACTATCCAGAATTCCCTATATCCAGTCTTGACATTAATTAGGTGAGATGTTAATTAGGTTCACAGATTGCTTCCAGTAGTGTACAGGTAATTTAAAATGTCACAATCTGCAAAATGCAGTGACTGACCTGTTCTAGCTCCATGCCTCAGCATTACTGAGAGGGCCCCATGATTTCCTTTTTTACCAACTCACACATTTACCCACGAAAATAATGCCACAGAAACAACTGCACAAAACCGTGATGGGTCTGTTAGGTGCATTTCTTCAGCAGCATTAGTCTAATCAGAAAGCACAGTTAATTCTAAACTGTAAACAGTTGTTGAGGATTTCAGAAAATATTCCACTTCAGCTTAAAATAATGACCTAAAGGAACAATAAAACTTTGTGTGTGTTATAGTATATTTTAATCTAGAGCTAGGACATCTTTTGTAATCAGTTATTTCACTGTAGAATGTGGATATAAAATCTGCTTGAAGCAACAGTTAATGGTGAAAAAAAATAAAAATGTTATTACTGTTTTAAAAGATACAGGCTTACATTTCAGTTTCACTGCC